TGTAAAATGGAGGACAATACTCCCTGTGGAAGGTTGTTTGCCTATCCATTCATTCACAGAGGGATGGGCAGGGCACAACATCACGAAACTCTATAATAAATGAGAGCAAGTATCTTCAAATGTGAAAGGTACATAACGTGGGTGGGTGTGGCACCCATTAGGATCAGGGGGCCAGGGAAGACTTCTGAGGTGACAGATGAACTTATAATCCATTGAGTGGCCAGCAGGGAGCAGGAAGCATGACAGGCTACGTTGCTAGGCTGGCCTTGAACTCTTGGGTATAAGGGATCCTCTGACTTCAGCCTACTCAATAGCTGAGACTATAGAAGCCCAAGTCTTGTGTTTTACAGAAAGTCTTCCAATTATGTTCTGATGGCTTAGACAGCAATGGCATTCACAATGGAATTAGCTTATGCTTAAAGGTAGGAGTGTCCTCACCATTCAGGATTCAAAATACCCTGACCCTAGGCTCAGTGGCAGAGCACTTGCCTGGCATGTGTGAGGCACTGAGTTTGGTCCTCAGCACCGCATATAAATAAATAAATAAATGGTACATTAGCAAGTAAAATTAATAAAAAATACTCCCACCCCACTCCTGGTGTTATGTGGAATGTAATGGAATAGCAACGGGAAGCAGGAGACATGGGAGACAGGAGAAGTGAGAGGAGGCGTAGTCCACGCCAGAATGAGGAAGGCTTGGCAGTGGAACAGGGCTGCAGGAGCAGGACATGTTTTGGGAGATCTGATTTCAACCACTGTCACTACCTCCTTGCTATCTTCCTCAGCTGGTTCCTTGGGCTCCACCAGCTGCCCCTCTCTGCTCTGTCCCAGGCTGCTTGGCTTCAGCAGCTACAGGGTGGGTGGGGGGCTGTGGTCTCAGTCCTGAGCAGAGGCCCATGTTGCTGGTGACTTGCACAGATTCCTGCCTGCAGAGCATTGTCTTTTTCCCAACTCACACACAGCTATGGGACTCTGGGCTCCTTGCTCTGACTTCAGGGAGCTCAGGTCTGTGATTCTGGGAAGTGAAACATGGTTAGTGAACACAGGTATCAAGTATCAGGTATGGTCACATGCCCACAGAAGCTCCCAGAACAGAGACATGCTGAGGTCATGCTCCTCAGCCTTGTTCGCACGGGCTGCCTGCCCCTCCCAAATACATAAATCCATACAAAATCTGAAGGTAAACGTTCACAACATTGTCTATTCTATCAGAAGAGTTCAAAATAACCCAAATGTCCATCAACTGATGAATGGGTCAACAAACTGTGGCATACCCCTACAATAGCATACTCAGCCATAAAAAGAAGTGAAAGACTGGAGCAGGGTGAGGAAGAGGTGAGAATGCCCGTGAACCAATCAAAGCTACCCACTGCTGCATCCCCACTGTCCTACCACTGTCACCACCATGCCCAAGAGAAAGGCTGAAGGGGATGCTAAAGGAGATAAAGCCCAGGTGAAGGACAGATCACCAAGATCCTCAGGGTTGTCTGCTGAACCTGTTCTTCCAAAGTCAGAGCCCAAGCCTTAAAAGGCCCCTGCAAATAAGGGAGAGAAGGTACCCAAAGGGGAAAAAGGAACAGCTGACACTGGCAAGGATGGGGATAACCCTGCAGAAAATGAGACCAAAACAGACCAGGCGTAGAAAGCCGAAGGTGCTGGAGACGCCAAGGGAAGTGTGTGCATTTTTGATAACTGTGGACTTCTGGTGGCTGTACAGTTTGAAATTCTAGTTTTTATCAAGTTTTATAAAAATGCAGAATTTTGTTTTCCTTTATCATTTCTTTTAAAGCTATGTTGTTAGCACACAGAACACTTCATTGTTGTTTTGGAGGGAAGGAGCCTAGGTCACTAGTAGAATGTCTCCAAAGCTGGATTGCTGTGGGGGAACACACCTTTCCCTGATGGTTGTAAGAGAGTCCCTCTTGGCTCCCTGATGTTGGCACACACAGCCACCTTGGCACAAATACTTTGTGGTATGCAAAAACTCAATTTCACCTTTACGTCCTTCTCTCCCTCTCTACCATAGGCATAGTTAACTCCCCTAAACTCAGACCTGTTGGGAGCTGGCTCCCAACAATTGGTGTTATCAGTGTGTCAGGCAATCTGGACTTTCCAGTGACATCATTGAGATGGTGTCCCTCAGAAGAGCAGCAGTTCCTTCTCTAGATTGTGGATCTTCACATTTATAATTCTGCCATTTTCATTTCATTTCCTGAAAGTCAGGGTCAGCTTGTAAAAAGTTGTTAAACAACATGCTAAATGTGAAATGTTAAACCTCACTCTAAACTTTCCCAATTCTGAGCATCCAATGAAGACTTCATTGGGTTTTGTAGTGGCTTTCTGATTTTGGTAGTCCATCCAAGAAGGGAGTTTGAAAGTTGTTGTATACTGTTAAGGATGTCTGCCCATTTCCTACCTGAAATACCATGATTGTTTATGAAAATTATCTTTAATAAGCTGGATACAGTTTGGCTTGGGAAAAAAAAGTGAAAAACTGAAGCATGTTACAAAAAGGACTTCAAAACATGATCAGTAAAAAGTCAGACAGAAGAAACAACGTACTGTAAGATTCCATTGATATGAAGTGTCCAGGTGGTTGCCAGGGGCTGGGGAGGGGGAGACAAGGAGGCACCCGGGGCACAGGGCACACTCACACCCAAGAGAGCAGCCGCTGTACACACGTGGTGTCAACACTTGCAGGACACCCCTTCCCTATGGTGGGCTCACACGGGGTGACGACCCAGCCACAGGCACACCTGGGGCTTCTCTGCACTGATATGGGCGGTGTCACCCTCGTCATACACACCTGGATGTCTTCTGCGCACCTGGCAGTGTCACACTATCGCACCTGGAAGTGTCCCTTTCACACCCTAAGGGCGGTGTCACACTCGTCACACGCACCTGGGTGTACCCTGCGCGCATGGGCGGTGTCAGACACAGTACGCCCCTTGTCCCAGTGCAAGCATAGTGACGTTCTCTGCCAGAGATCCCCACCCTAGGTCAACCCCTCCCAGGCCCCACTTGCCACCTGTGACTTCCGCGGCTCATGTACTCTGCCAGGGTGGCTCCTCCTCCTCACTCACGCGCACCGCCCCTCCGCTCATAGCTTTGGTGCCGCCTCCGGAAGGAACCCGTGCACTTCCGCCAGACCTCAACCCCAGGAGGCCCTGCGCGACGCGAGCCACTGCCGCACTTCCGCCAGATCTCAACCCCAGGAGGCCCTGCGCGACGCGAGCCCGGCCGTACTTCCGCTAAAACTTCACCCTCCCAGGAGGCCTGGGGTTGCACGTAGCTCCTCCTCTTTTATTCAAGTGCGAATAAAAACCACGCTTTTTGCCAACCCTTTGAGTGGACATCAATCTAGAAAGGATCCCTTTATAAAAAAAAGTATCTCGACATTTTTCTTGAAAACAAGGCAGTTTTCCAAAATACCTTGGGGGTTGAACAAGGCCCTGACTGGTTAGACTGCGGAGGGAGGAACGGGGCTCTTTCCTGGAGAACCGGTTCATTAAGCATTTCTTAAAACTTCTTAAAAATAGTTACTTCGTGTTCACACTGTATGAATTTTTTTTATCTTTTTAAAGAAAAAGATTTCTCGCTTTGCTAGCTAAGGAGAAACGGGACTCCGTCTCAAAGGCTCCGGTTCTCAGGATTTTTTACTTTTTTGGTCCTGGGTACTAAACGCAGGCTTTGCACACGTGCTATCAGTGAGCGTCCAGCAGCCTCCTGATACAAGGACTCGTCTTTACAACCCCTTCCCTTAGCTGGAAATCGAGCAAATATAAACCCATGCAACGAAGGTCCCCGAGTCCCTTCTTCCGTATGTCCAGGATGACGCCCCGAGATAAAGGGCAGCTCTTGTCAGGCCAGTCAAACTGCTAGTAAAGGGAAGTCCCAGGCACAACCGCAAGACTCGCCGGTGTGACTTGGTGAAGACCACTCCGTCAGGCTGACTTGGATCACCCGTCACATTACATCTAGATAGTCGCAAGCCTATATTTAAAAAGTGCTCTCAGCTACTTACCTTTGGACTAGCAGTACCCAAAGAAGTCTCTGCAGTGAGAGAAACCTAAATATGAAAAGCTGAAATGTGACTAGTGATGGAAGAAGTCAACTTTGCATTTAATTTTATTTAAATTTACTCCTAAATAGCTTTTCAGGGCCAGTGGCTGCCATATTGGACAGTGCATTCTGGAAAATGTTCATATTGCATCTTATTTTCAAGACAGATGCAGATTTCTTCCATTTATCCTTTGCAGAAATAATGTGAACACCTTGGAGGAAGTGCAGTTGCCATGGCAATCGAATACTTTGCTGTTGGCCACAACTTGTGTTGGAGCTTCTCATAATTTGTCCTAATACAGGGAGTTAAATGAATTAACTTGGAAACTTGTGTTACAACCCCCCCGCCCCCCACCCCAGTAGTCGGGATTGAACCCAGGGCCTTGCATATGTAAGGCAAGGATGTTCTACCACTGAGTCACATCCCCAATCCCACTACAATCACTTTCCATTTATTTATTTATTTTTTTTAGAGAGAGAAGAGAGAGAATTTTAATATTTATTTTTTTTTAGTTTTTGGTGGACACAACATCTTTGTTTGTATGTGGTGCTGAGGATCGAACCCAGGCCGCACGCATGCCAGGTGAGCGCGCTACCGCTTGAGCCACATCCCCAGCCCATCCATTTATTTTTTTAAATTGTAAATGGATACAATATCTTTATGTTATTCATTTATGTTTATGAGGTGCTGAGGAGCAAACCCAGTGCCTCACATGTGCTAGGCCAGTGCTTTACCACTGAGCTACAGCCCCAGCCCCACTTTTCATTTTTGATGTCCTCAAGGAGCTAGAAGCTATTTTACACTCAGCTGGTTTTGTAACATGAACACACACACACAAGTACATACAGGTAACAGGTGTGAATAAGATACAGCAGTCCTGCTTATGCAAACACGGTCAGAGGGGGAGGCAGACAGTAAACCAGCAAATTATAAAATCTGAGATTTTTGTTAAATTTATTTTTTTAACATAATCCTTTTACAGGTTTTAAAATTCCAAAAATATAGTTACAGAGTGAAAATCATTCCTCCTCTCTGTCCCCGGATGCCTCCCCAAGTGTTTATCCTTTTGGAGACTGTGAGCAGCAGTTTTCTCTTTACACAAATGGAAACACACCAGGTCCACATGTGTTTGTTTTCGTTGTTGCCCACAATAGTGAGTGAGGACTCTCTGCCTGGGCAGCTGTGGTCTCCATTCCACCACTGATTACTTTCCAGGTTGCTGTACGTGCTCCCTGCAAGACCAACAGCACCATGAGAACTGTGCAGGGACGGGCTTGTGTGCTTGGAGCCCAGTGGCCGCCCCATGCCCTGGGACCCTTAGCTGGCAGACAGGGCGGAGCACACACTGTCAGGATCCTCCTGAAAGGTGACTTCACAAGCTACATGAATTTCTCTGTGAGGGGGAAAAAGCTCAACATATAACAAGGAGTTATGAGGGAGCCGGAAGGGATTCTGAGTTTCTACATGAGGTAACTACATTTGAATTGATGGACACCATGTTTAGGCGTTTACAAACATTTTAATAAAAATTGCAAGGAAAATTAGAAAATCTATATGGTAATACTATTTGTACATGGTTAAAGTATGAGGAATTGAGGTTTTTAAAATAGTTTTAGTTGTAGTTGGGCACAATACCTTTATTTTTATGTGGTGCTGAGGATCAAACCCAGCACCTCGCACATGCTAGGCAAGTGCTCTACTGCTGAGCCACAACCCCAGCCCCAAGAATTAAATTTTAAATATATTTTCACTTGTTAAAAACTCAGTGAATTTTCCAAGTCTTGCTACAAAGAACTGAGTTAATTTCACAAACAGATAAATTTCCCCTAGTTTTCAGTAATTTCCCCTGAGGAATTTTCCTATTTGAAAACCTAAGGAAATGGGTAGGAACACCATGACTGGACAAGGACTGAGGAGAAACGAAGATGTGCGTTTCCACCTCCTGTTCCTCTGCTCCTGTGTTCCAATCTTGTAACCACAGCATCCCACACTCCTCCCTTCAGGATGTGACTCTGAGGGCCAAGGTGGAGGGAAAAGGGTGGCCCAGGCCCAGCCACCAGAGCTGTGGACAAATATGATCTTACTGCCGGGTGTCCCCCGCCCAGGAGCACTCCATGCTCTGCCTGTTACCAGACTGGCCAGGTCTTGCTGCATCACTGGTAGTGCTACCTCCTCCAAGGGCTGTCCTGAGAGGCTGAGGGTGGATGAAGCCCACAGACCTGAGATATTTACAGGGTAAAGCAACACAAATGCTCAATGAGGAGCAAGCCAAAGCAGGCTGGTTTTCTGGCTTCAACAGTGGGATGGCATGTGTCCATCACAGGGATGGGAGGGCTGGTTTGGAGGGAAACGACAGTGTCTGCGCAGGTTGGGTTCCTGAGCTTTGCAGTACCTGCTGGGGAGCTGCCCAATGGCAGATAGCCGCTGTCTGGGCCTGGCGTTCAGAACTCAGAAGCACCAGACTTAGACATGGGGGCGGGAGACACAAGCCATGGTGCAGATGACACCTACCATCCCAGCTGTTGTGGAACCCTGATGCTTAGAGGGCGAGGGGAAAACTAGAAGCCCCTGAAGAGGTGGAGAGCTGCAAGGTCAGCAGACCTAGTGGCTGGGGTGCAGATGCCATGCCCTGAGACCTGGCAGTGGCCCAGCAGTTTCTGTGCAGCAGCAGATCAGAGGGTCTGCAAAGCTGGTGCCACAGGAGTGGGAACACAGGAGACGGGGCACTGCCTACCTGCACCCGCTGCCCACAACCTGTCTACCAGAAGTTAGAAGTGCTAAGAGTGCCGTTACCAGGGGTGGCCCTGTGACTCAGTCTTGGGTGACAAGACTTGGGAACATGCAAAGGCTCTCAGGAAAGGCTTTACTCTGAAGCGTCATCAGAGGGCTGTGTTGGCCTGCCCTTCTCCCCCAGTCTTGACAACAGGAGCCAGGGCTGGAGCTTCAGCACTCGTCCTGAGACCACGAGGGAAAGAAGCAAGAACTGCAACACGCTCGTTGACTGGCTGAAAAGTCAGTCCTGACCAAGCCCAATTTGTTCTGGCCACTGGTGACTGGGAGCTGACACTGAATTCTGGCTCCACTATTTCCTACCTGCGGACTTGCCCTGGTTACTCTAGTTGCAGCAGCTGGTTACTTCTGCCCTGTGACTAATTGTCCTCATCTGACAGTTCACAGAACTGTCACTGAGCTAACCTGGTAGCTATGTAAATGGAAAGTCACCTGCTAATAATGAACCAGCAAGTGGCCTGGGCCAAGAAATGAAGGCCCAGAGTTCTGTGAAGTCAGAGCTGGGAAGAGAAATGGGAGGACGGCCCCAGAGGGAAAGCTGGGTGCAGAGAAGGAACCCAGGGTGATGTCAGGGTCCTGCATCTGGTGGTGAGAGTCCTGAAAGCCAGGCTGCCCAACAGAAACCCCACCTCGTGGCCTTCCCAGCATCTGAGGAACAAGTGGTCGCAGGAAGCTCAGGGGCAGCGGGAGTCTCCCGGGGAAACTGCTCTCTGTCCAGCTCTGCACCCAGACAATGCAACAGTGCTTCTGCAGTTTGTTTTTAAAAACCAATTTTTACAAGTGGAGATGGGTCATGATCCTTCCTTTCAATTGCTGACGCTGATGGGACGCTTTAACTTCACTAGAAAGTAACGGCAGCAGGAATACCACATGGAGGAATAGCTGCGCACACCCGGGTCCTGGTGGCGAGGCAAGGACTGTGGCCAGGGCACGCAGAAGCCCACAGCTGGCTTCACTTTAGGTCACCAGGCAGGCTGACATCTTCAGTTTATACACCCCGGTGCTGTGCCACATGAGGGACCACACGTGACACATGACGTTCTTTTTTTCTGGAATCGCAAGCCTGAGGGGCGGCAACCCCTGCTTTCCTCAGAACACTTGCAGGAAAGCAACATGAGGGTAACATTTCCCACGCTGGACAGTAAATGGTCATGCCAGAATGTTCCGCTTCCTAGGAAAACAAAGCCCAGCTTTTCCTGGCATTCACAGCCGAGGAAAGGTCCTCCATTGGTCTCCAGCAGAGGCCCCACAGGTGGGAAGAGCAGGCACATGATCTCGTGGGCCCTCAGCATGGCTCTAAGGCTTGGTGACAAATCAGGGCAGTGTGTCATACCAAAGCAAGGAGGGTGTGATGGGCAGGCCCAGGCAGGAAAAATTTAGGTTATTCTGTTTCCTTCCTAACAAATAAAAGATGAAATAAATCAGATGTCTCATGACATTTGTTCAGGTAAGACGATAACAATACAGTTTTGAGATTCAACAAAATTTTATGATTTTCTTGTTTCATCATAGATATTAGGTAAAATGAAATTTTTTCCTTTACTACAATGACCAGGGGAAGAATACAAACAATGACCTTGGGGCACGGCCCTGATTTGAACTCAGTCCTTAGCTATGTGCAAAACACCAACATGGCAGAAAATCCAAAAAGCTTAGATGACTATAAAAATGGCTTTGTCCTGTGATCAACTTGGTCATATGTGTATTTTAAACTCCCTGTTTTTTAGAAATATATTCAGAAATATGATAAAATAATATTTTCTGGGACTAATGTAAAAATAATTCAGGGTAGGAAAGAGATGGGAAGATGAGTGGGGAAACAATGAAAATATATCATTCCTGTTTTAAAACTGTCAATGCTAAAAGGTTATTGAGAGAAATAGGTGGAGGGCTGGGGTTGAGGCTCAGTGGTAGAGTGCTCGCCTAGCACATGTCAGGTCCTGGGTTCAATAATCCTCAGCACCACATAAAAAAATAAAATAAAGAAGTATTATGTCCAATTACAACTAAAAAATAAATATTAAAAAAAAATAGGTGGGGGCTGGGGATGTGGCTCAAGCAGTAATGTGCTCGGATGGCATGCGCGGGGCGCTGGGTTCGATCCTCAGCACCACATGAAAATAAATAAAGATGTTGTGTCCACCAAAAACTGAAAAATAAATATTAAAAAATTCTCTCTCTCTTAAAAAAAAAAGGTGGATTCTCTACCATTCTTCACACCAATTATGAAGACTGCAAAAGGATTTACTGAAAATTGGGAATTGTACTGTGTGTAAACTAGCTGATGGTCCCATTTGATAAAGCCAAACTTGCACGATACTAGTACAACTTCCATCAATGGAGTTAGAGCTGAGAAAACATCAGCCACAGTGCTGGGCTGGTGCACAGCTTCTCCACACAGGACTGTGGACACCTGGGGTGGAAGATCCTTTTCTGAAAAGCTGCCCTGGGCCTGCAGGATGCTGAGAGGATCCTTGGCTTTGACCCAAGACACCGGGGCCTGCTACTCTTGAGTCACAGCTACCAGAACACCTGTAGCTTCAGCAGCACTCGTATTTTGAGGCTGTGGTTTCCACAGCAGATGTAATCCCAGGAAGTGTGGGGGCTGCTGTCAGATGATCTCGGGGTGTGGTTGAAATGTGGCAGAAGCCATGCATGCTGCAATGACTGTGAAAAGCAGAACTGGCCCAGTGCCACCTGTGTGCAGGTGAGGACCTGCCCCCCCAAGATGCTAACCTACTCTCCTTCACAAAGACACACATATTAACTGTTGCATACTTTAAATTTAGACAGAATTTCCCAGAATTGGAACACATTTTGTTTTATCCAAAACTTCTGAGAGTTAGTCACTCTGGTGGTACAGAAATGCCACTCATGGTATTTGTGAGGCCAACAGTAACCCCACACCAGGGCACAGCAAAGGGCTGCCGCCCAGGGCTCCCTCCTGACAGGGCCCACACAGTGGCACAGCAAGCTTCCACACTGACTCGGTACACGTTCTTCCATTACAAATACTTTTGTTTTATCCTTTACAAAATGGGCCACATACTGACTTCTGTACATTACACATGTGGGTAGGTTTTATTATTGGGGAACTCCTTTTAAGGAGATGGAGGAACCATCATAAAGGATCTATTATTAAAGGGTTTGATAGATTTTGGAGCCACCAATTTTAGGTGTTCGAGAAGTGTCATTTCCTTGAAAGCCAAAGGTCACCGTCAGCACTTCTATCCCCAGACCCTCTTGCCATGAATGGACTGTGCATACTTACCACATGTTTCTGTACCTGTGGTCCAAGAGCCGTCTGAAGAGTTTCTCTCCTATGTGGATTCTCTGATATCAAACAACATGGAGGTGCCCATGGAAGGCTCCCCGACCCCAATGACATGCACAGGGCTTTTTTCCTGCATGATCTCATGGATGTCAAACAAGGCCAGGGCCCCGCCTGCTGGCTGCCCAGCCTTGGGCTGGTCCCCAGGGCTCTCTCCTGCTTTTGTGGGCTGATGCCTGCGGAGCTGTGAGCTCCGGCCACAGCGTCTCCGGGGGCGCCCCCCAGGCTCCTCGTCTCTGGTGTGAGTGATCTGGTGTCGGATGAGGTGAGAGCTCTGAATGAAGCACTTCCCACACTGATTACACCTGAAGGGCCTGTCGCTCCGGTGAGTCCTCCCGTCTTGAGTCAGAGGTGGGCTGCAGCCCAGGGTGTCTGCCCACACGTGTTTCGCTAAAGCTGGTGTCTGCTCAAAGATGAGCCTCTGCTGGCACTCGTAGGGCTTCTCCCCGGCGTGCTTCCGCTGGTGCTGGGCCAGCGAGGAGCTGTGCCTGAAGCCCTTCCCGCAGTGGTTGCACTCATAGGGCCGCTCCTCTGTGTGGGTCCGCAGGTGCAGGAACAGGCAGGTGGTCCGCGAGAAGGACTTGCCACAGACGCTGCAGGTATACGGCTTCTCTCCTGTGTGGGTCCTCTTGTGCCGGCCCAGGGAGGAGTTCTGGTTGAAGGCCCTCCCACAGTCCTGGCACTCATAGGGCTTCTCTCCCGTGTGAATTCTCCGGTGGACGGTGAGGTGTGTACTGTGGCAGAAGGACTTCCCGCACTCAGCACACTTGTAGGGCTTGTCCCCTGTGTGGATCCGCTCGTGCTGGACCAGGGAAGAGTTCTGGCTGAAGGCCTTCCCACACTCCTTGCACATGTAAGGCCTCTCCCCCGTGTGGATCCTCTTGTGCACGGTGAGGTGGGCGTTGTGGTTGAACGCCTTCCCACAGTCGGCGCACTTGTAGGGCTTGTCCTGCACCTGGCTCCTCAGAGGCTCTGCTGCAGGAGCTGCCTGCTCAGGGGTTCTGTGGCAGCCGTGGCTTCCACAGGGCTGAGTTTCTGGGGAGCCGGTCTGCTGACTGACTAAGCCCGAGCTGTGCTCTGAGCTGGGAACTTGAGAGTCGTAAGTACAGAAGTATTCTCTCCTAGAGATCTCTGGGAATGCATATGGGTTGGAACTAAGGACACAGTTTTCCCCAAATTTGAGACTTTTGGTGCCTTGATTTTGAAGAGGTGCTTCCTCGAGGAAGAACTCCAATCCCCTCAAGGATTCCTGGCCTTTCCTGATGGGCTGGCCCAGGACCTCATGCTCCCAGGCTCCCTCTGTTGTGGAGGCACAAGGAGTGTCCCTTGGGAGCCCTTGCCTTTCTGTGACAGGGGACAACTCCTCTTCAGGAGGGCCCTGCTTGGGTGATGCCAGGCCTGTGGGTGCCAGCTCCCAGCCTAAAAGAAAACAGAAGAACTCTGAGCATTAGTGGGAAACAACAAAGAGCAGGCCTGGGGTTGTGGCTCAGAGGCGGAGCGCTTGCCTAGCATGTGCAAGGCCCTGGTTCAGTCCTCAGCACCATATGAAAAACCAAAAGAACAATGAAGGTATTGTGGCCATCTACAAATAAAAACAGGAGCAGAGAAGGGCCACAAGACCCCAGGCCTGTTACTTCCTGGGATGCTTAGGACCTGCCCTGCCAAGGCCCAATATCCTCCTCTATTTTGACCTCAAGGGCTTGGAGGCAAACACAGCTGCACACCTCAGGTGTCTCCTTAGGCCACCATAATGAACAACAATGCAGAGGTCTTCTATAAGACACAGGGAAATACGCTTCCATGCCTCTCCCACGCCCTAGGGACCATCTCCTTCACTCCACAGCTCTCCCACCTCCCAGGGACCATCTCCCTCACTCCACAGCTCTCCCACCTCCTAGAGGCTATCTCCCTCACTCCACAGCTCTCCCACCTCCCAGGGACCATCTCCCTCACTCCACAGCTCTCCCAACTCCTAGAGGCTATCTCCCTCACTCCGCAGCTCTCCCACCTCCCAGGGACCATCTCCCTCACTCCGCAGCTCTCCCACCTCCCAGGGACCACCTCCCTCACTCCGCAGCTCTCCCACCTCCCAGGGACCATCTCCTTCACTCCACAGCTCTCCCAACTCCTAGAGGCCATCTCCGTCGTACCCAGAGCTCTCCCACCTCCCAGGGACCATCTCTGTCACTCCAGAGACAGCCAGTAGCACTCTAAGGTCTTATGGCTCCATCAGGTTCACCCCGCTCCAGGGAAAACTGCTTCTAGAAATCACACTGTGCTGCTCACCCCAGCCCTGGAGCCCCCTCATCTATTTCAGTCTTGCCATGACGCGTCACATGTCTATTCTTTCAGTGGTCACTGTGTCATACAATTCCTTGATTCAGTATGTCTCAGGTGCTCAAAAACACATCTCAGTAAATGCAGGAGGGACTCCAGGGGAAAATGAGGGCCTGGGGCAAGATGAGCAAGGGGATAGGAGGGGCTCAGGACCACTGGCACCACAAGAAAGGAGCTGAGGGGTAGCCGGAATCTGGGCTCTTCACCTCAAGCCTCCAAATTCAACTCTACACAGCACCCAGAGCGGGTGTAGCAAAACACAACTCAGTCCACACAAAATCTTGTACATGAATGTTCACAGCAACACTGGCTTTAAAAAAAAAAAAAAAAAATATATATATATATATACACACACACACACACACACACACATATTCATTTTACATTTATGTGGTGCTGAGGATCGAACCCAGTGCCTCATGCATGCTAGGCAGGCATTCTACCACTGAGCCACAACCCCAGTGCCCCCAGCACTGGTCTTAATAGGCAAAAAGTAGAAGCAGCCGATGAATAGATACATAAAATGTGACCTAGCCATTCAATGGAATATTAAAGAATAAATATAAAAAGAACAAAGAATGGACACGTGACAAACTGGACAATCTTTGAAAACATCATGCAAAGTTAAAGAAGCCAAACATGGAGGTCATACAGCCGAGTCCACAGACACGGAATATCCAGAACAGGCAAATCCAGACAGAGGTAGACTGGTGACTGTCAGAGGCAGGGAAGAGGGAGTGACTGTGGGACTGGACACTGTGTCCTACCAGAACTCCTGTGGGTCAGCCCTAAGCCCTGATGTAATGGCACTAGGAAACAGGCTTTGAGTGGTAACAGGTCACAAAGGTGGTGATGGATTAGAGCCCTTGGAAAAGAGAAGCCAGAGGGCCAGCTTCCTCCCTCTGCAGCCACTGCAAACAAGGAACTAAGTGGACTCCCACTCCAGAACTATATGGATCCAATGTCTGTCATGTACACCACCCAGGCCGAGAAACCTCATTCTGGTAGCCAGAGTGACCAAGACAGCACAGAGAGGCTCTGGAATTACAGTGGTGAAGGGCGCAGTCTGCAAACGGACATGATGACCACTAACACGCACGCTCTAGACAGAGCACCAGAGTCCCGTTGTGGCCTCCGTCCGGATTTTTTCAGTTTTGCACTCACAGCTGGTACAGGCACCTGTGCGAAGGGGCAGCCTGCCTGTCATTCTCCACTGCGTTCCCAGCACTGAAGGCAGCACCTGGTGGGTCCTCAGCAATGTTTGCTGGAGGGGCTCAAATGGTGGCTCACCAGCCCTGAGACTGACAGTGTCACTGAAGAGGTTCAACATGACACTAGCGCCAACTCTGGCCCAGGCAAGCACTGCCAGTGGGAAGGGGAAGAGGAAGACCAGAGCAGGCCACTCGCCAAGGAAGTCTGAGAAGGGATGCCAGTAGCAGGCTGTAATGGACCAAACTGAAAAAGCTGAAACTGGGGACCACATAGCAGGACATTCGTGCTCTGGGACAGCAGAGAAGCTTCTTTGTGGGGCCATGTGAAGCCCGGCGGGAAGCACAGAGGCTGTGCCTCAGTTCCTTGGGACTCCCAGAGCTGAGGACATAGCCCCAGCTGCCTCCAAAACCAACGAGCCTTGCATTTGGGGGCCTCCTTGTTCCCAGAGAAGCAGTCTATGGAGAGAGAGAATGAGAGAAAAGCAAGGACTGCAGCTGGCCAGGAGGTGACCTGCAGCGGGTGAAGCTGTGGCCACAGAAGGGAAATAGTAAAGAAATGAGGCAAGATGAGCAAGGGACAGGAGGGGCTCAGGACCACTGGCACCTAGCCCCCAGAACACGGGTGCATCAGGAGCAGGGATCTGCCTGGAGCGCTTTCTTCTCCCTTAAAAAACAAGCATCGTGCTGTCTTCTGATAAAGTAGGTGGTGACTAATCCACGGTCCCTCGGGGATGCCAAGCCCAGTTCTTGGAAGCTGTAGATATGTGACCCTCTCTAGCAAAGGGATCTGCAGGTGTGATCAGCTGAATTGGAGAGTGGAAGATTAGTACCCCAGGGCCCTCAGAGGGTCCACACAGACAGTCCGAGTCAGAGACGGGGATGTAGTGATGGGAACAGAGGTCAGAATGAGGTGCTCTGAAATGGAAGGACCCACCAGCCAAGGGACACAGTGGCTCCAGAAGCTGGAAAAGAAGACATGCCCCTAGAGCCACCAGAAGGTCCAGCCCTGACAGGCCATTCTGGACTCTGATGTCCACAACTATGAGAAAAAGAAGTGTCTCAAACTCCCCAGATTGTGGTACTTTCGTAAAGTAGCAATAGGAAACTAATCCAAAATGTTAAGTAAAAAGTACACTTTGCTCTCACATGAAGCTGTGAGATCCTTCCGACTGTGGAGCATTTACAACTGTCTGGATTAAGTTCTTAAGACACCTTGTCACAATTCTGACGCCACACCAGACCTGTGTCTACTCAATACTTAAGGGCACACATCATTCAAAACCCGCCTCTAGTTGTAGCCTGAGACCTGTGAGTCAAGGGCAAACGTCCAGATGACGAGGATTTGTTTCTCATAAGCAGGTTTGGAGTGACAGTGACGACCACCAGTAAACAGGGGACACAAGATCTGCTGAAGATTCATCCTGCCCAACCAAGGAGGCACAGGGCATTAGGGGACATGGAGGTGGGAGGCTGGTCTGCAGGCACTGCTGACCGCACCCAGACATGGTGAGAGCACCAGGTCCCAGCCACAGGGTGGGCCTGCAGTGCCTAATCCAATCACCACAATCCCGATGCCCTCCTTCCCACTTTCCCTACTGACAAGGGTCAGGGCAGGAGACAGTAATCAGGCCTGACCAGGGAGACCCCCAGTGGATGGCTTTCATGTTTCAGATAAAAGGGGACAAATGAATCTTCCTATCTCCTCCCTTCTTTCCTTCCTTCCTTCCTGGAGCACAGATGTGATGGCTAGAGCTGCTGTAGTCACAGTGTAACTCTAAGGAAAGACCAGGGAAATCACAGAACCATCAGCCCTGGTATCTCTAAGTGCCATGCCAGCAACAATAGCAGCTGACTCAGGGTTTCTGCTTCCCGAGAAAAATGCCTCTTTTCTTTTGAGCTGTTCTAACCGGGATTTAAGGTACCTAGAGCTAAGCACAATCCTTCTGACAAGAGAATAGGAAGATTAGGGAACAGGTTGAAAGGATCTAGACATACAAGAACAAAGTGGAGAAGATGAAGAAGAGGCTCACACACTTGACAGGGCCTGCTGAGATGGCTGGTAAGGTGGAATGACCTCGGAGAAAGAGGGAGCGGAGAGGGAGCAGGGTAGGGCTCCTACTACTGGAGCAGAGGTGAATGGTCTCTGAGTCCATAGGAAGGACAGCCCAAGTGAGGTGGCTACTGTGCAGAAGCAGGTAATAGGGCAGACCTGAGGCCCCCTTCCGAGAGAGGCTGCTCTCCAGGTTGGCCCTTGGCTGCCTCTAGGTATCTGGAGCTGGGAGGGCACTGATAGGTGCCTGACACCACCCCCGCTGATAGGTGTGCTCTGAGTGTGGCTCTCTGTGACATGTGGTGCACCCCAGATCTGGAACCTCGGCCTGTGTCAAGCTGAGGGTGCCCATGAGACCAGACCCAGGACAGTCTGACCCTGTCTCTAGCCAGGCTCCCTGCCAGGGGCCCTGGGAGGTCCACGCAGGTGGAGAGTGGCTTCCCCTGAGGGACTGTGCCTTGTGTGCCTTTTCCCTGGGCTGGTTTCAGGCTGCGTCCTTTGGCTACCACCAGCTATGGCTGTGAGCATGACGATTCACATGCCGCAAGGCCTCTTAGTGCAGGGGTGGTCTCAAGGACCTCGAAGCACCACTCCTTTCACAGAGTGCATCTCCAGTGACCGCGTGCCACATTCCCGGTAGAGCCTCACCTGGATGGCAGCCCTGGGCGACTCCTTTCCCCACCACCCAGAGCTCAGCTCCTTGCTCCAGCTGGGAGATGACTTCAGGTTTGGGAAGCTCAGGACCTGGAAACAGGGAAAGACACAGGAGGTGAGGGCTGCTCTGAAGAGACAGCACCAGGCCAGGCTCTGCCTACCAGGACACGTGGACGCCTCGTGTTGAGGTTAAGCTTTGCACTGTGACAGAAAAGGCCAGATCCCTCCTTCATTCCCACGTGAGCCCACAGGGCCTACGGGCTGAAGTCAGACCCTGTCATGCAGGCAGATTAAGCCTCTGGAGTTTGCAGAGCAGTTCCTACCCACAGACAGAAGGTGCCCAAAGGTCTCCAGCATCACATCCCGGTACAGGGTCCTCTGGGCAGGCTCCAGCTGCCCCCACTCCTCCTGGGTGAAGTCGACAGCCACATCCCGGAAGGTCACAGGCTCCTGAAACATCACAAGCATTCTCCATCAGCTGGACCATCCCATCACTGTTCTCTGGCAGAGGAAGAATGGGAAGGAGAGAGTGGGCAGGTCTGTGTTCTGAGAGGATGTACAACTGAGTGATGTGAACCAGGAGCCACTATGTGCAGGAGTGGGCTGTAGTACTGTGTGGACATGTAAGACCACCCAGAGACATTAATCACAACTACCGACAACTAATCAGACAGGTAAGGCCAGCCTAAACCCCTGGCTTTCAGGCTTCTGAGCTGAAGAAATGGCTACTGTTTTTTGTTACACAGCAAGAGCTAACACATACTAATACACTCACTGATCTATAAATACAAAGCGAGGCTCATCCTCCTCCCTGAAAAGAGGGGTGGATACTCAGTGTCAGAAACTCACCTATCTTAGGGACCAGGCAGGCTCATGTGGCTTAAGCCGGCCACTTGACAGCCCATAAGTGGACTTACCCTGTGAGTAGTAGGGCCAGAGGTTACAAGGAGCACATGCCATGTCTGAAGGGGCATCGGGGACTCAGAACTGACTCAATGTAGGGAAACACAGGACACAAGTGGTCAGAACTGCCAACGTCTAGAGACAAGGTAGAAATTAAGTCGGGCTTTCATGTGAATAATTCCAATGTTTACAAATTGATACACATATCTAAAACATGTCCCACAAACAAAATTCTTCTTTGTGCTGGTTGTGACCACCCTTGAAAGTCGACTATTTCTGGATCAGAGTCTTGGCTTAGCCACTTCTTTCCCAAGAGACAAGACAAAGAGACACTACACGGAGGACAGTGCGTAGTATCTCTGTCTCCCAGTTTCCATATATACAAAGCATCATTCCTTTGGGGTTAAGACAGGAATTAAGTGGCTAAAAACACTTGCTATAATATAGGACAACTGGAAGCCAATGCAAGAAAAAAAAAGTTGGTTCCCTTCCTGACACCATACATACAAGTTAACTCAAAATGAAACAAAGATGTAAATGAAAGGTAAGAGACAAAAATATGAAACTCCCAGGAGAAAACATGAGGATAAATTGTTGGATTTGGGAAAGGATTCTTAAACATGAAACCCAAAGCACAAACAACAAAGAAAATACAAATAAATTTGACTTCAAAACTAAAAGATTTTTGCAGTTTCAAAGAACACTCTCAAGAAAGTTAAAACAAAGCAGGGAAAAACAAAAAACAAAAAACTTCACAGAATGGGAGACCACACACCAGAGATTTGTATCTAGAATGTATAAAGAACTTTTACAACTCAATATTAAAAGGACAACCCAATTAAAATAATCAAAAAATCTGAAAAAGACATTTCTGCAAGAAAGAGACACAAATGACAAATAAGCACATGAAAAGATGCTCAACGTTAGTCATGAAGGAAATACAATTCAAAACCACACAAGAGGGCTGGGGATGTGGCTCAAGCGGTAGCACATTCGCCTGGCATGCATGGGGCGCTGGGTTCGATTCTCAGCACCACATAAAAATAAAATAAAGATGTTGTGTCCGATGAAAACTAAAAAATAAATATTAAAAAATTCTGTCTCTCAAAAAAAAAAAAAATCCACAAAACCACACAAGAGGGCTGGGGTTGTGGCTCAGAGGTAGAGCACTAGCATGTGAGGCATGGGGTTCGATCTTCAGCACCACATGTAAATAAATAAAATAAAATAAAGATACTGTGTCCATCTACAACTAAAAAATAAAATAAAATAAAATAAAAACCACAAGAAATACTTCAATAAAGAAAGGTAATTCCTTTTAGAAAAATTTAAGTGGGTTTAAAGATGCTAAAGGAAATTGTGTACAGGTGGCCATATGGCTCTGACATGAAACACAAAGAACCTTTGGCTGGACACAGAGGTTTCTGCTCCTGTTCCTGTGTCCTCTGGTTCAACTCAGAACATCTGCCAACACATCCGAAAACTGGCAATCCGAGGCCATCGATAGTCACTTTGTGAACCAAACCACAGTTTGCCCGTGAACAGATCAGCCACACACGCAGGAAGAACCTAACTTGGAAGTGGCAGAGCTCGAGGAGCTAGGACTCGGTTTGGGTTCCTGCTAAGCGGAGGTAGCATCCAGTCTGGGGCTTTGACGGTCAACTGGCCTTGCACACGCCCAGGCCGCTGAGCCCCGAGCCCCGCGGGTGACTGGGGCCCGGGTGCGCAGGGACCTGGCCTCCCCTCAGCAGACTCACTCCAAGGAGGGGGCTTCGCAGCTCCGGGGCCGGGGGTCGTCTGCTGACCCCAGGAGCTTCAGCAAGTTCGTGCGACAGTACCTGTCCAACGCACTCCGCCCGCCAGTCACCGAGCTGTCACCGCGGACACGGAAAGCCAGCCCCCGCCCCGAGAGCGTGCGCCCGAGCCGGTCCGCGGCTGCACAGCCGCTGCCCCGCGGGAGGGCGTCGCGGTCGCCACGGCCTCGCGGGCGCGGGGCTGCAGGCCGGTAGCCAGCGGGACGCCGGGCCTGGGGCCCGCTGCCGTCGTTATGGTTGTTACCTGAAGCCGTGCCGCCGGTGGCCGCGCAGCCATCGCAACCGCTGCCGCTTCGTGTTCGGAGTCCATCCTGGGCGAAAGGATCGAGCACCGAAGCCCGAAGCGACCCCCAAGCTAGAGTGCCGCCCCCACCAAGGGGCCCACCCGACCAGCCGCCCGCAGGACAATGGCGACCACGCCTGTGACGCTGTGACTACAACTCCCAGAAGGCCACGCAGCGCGCCGCCGTGACGGGCCAATGGGAGTCGCTGCCCGCAGGGCCTTTGGCCAATGGGACGTTAGTTCCCCCCTTAACCAATAAGAGGTCTCGCCCGTCGGACCTTCGGCCAATGGGGGAGTTGCGGTCGCTCCGAGTTGGCTGAACCGGCGGGCTCCGAGGCCCCGCAGTGTCAGGGTCTGCGCAATGGCGGGAGCGGCCTGCAGCCCCAGGGGCTAGGTCTGGCTCCCCACCGCCTCCCAGCGCCAGCTTGAGCCAGTGGTCTGGGACGGCCCGCGGGAGGTCGGTGCAGCCCTTCCTGCTGCAGGCGGACACCTGGGCTTTTCCCTTTACTTGTATTCGCGAGAAAGAGAAGAGAGAGAGAGACACAGAGAGAGAGAGAGAAGGGAAAGAGAGAAAAGAAGGGGGTGTGAGAGAGAGTAAGATAGACAGCAAAAGCAAGAGGAGAAAGAGAGAGCAAGAGAGAGGGGCCTGGCAGGAGAGTTTTTATAGCCAAAATCTAATGGGGTCTCTGGGTCTGCAAGCTGCCTTGTTGGCATACAATGATTGGATCACACAGTAGATGCTAAGGGTGTCATCTTCTGCCTCCAGGCAGATGGGGCAGGGGTCAGATGTGGGTTTCCTTTTCACCAGATAGGTGGGGGTTGAGTGTTGAGTGGGGTCAAGTGTTCAGCCTTGTTGCAAACAGGTAATAAAGGACCAGGGGGGTTTGAGTGCCTGGGTTATCCTGCAGCTAACATTCATTCAGCCTGCCCTGCAGATGTAATGCCAGATTCGTGGGACCCCAGTAGACCTCCAGGAGCTGAATCCGATGCAATCACACAACTTTATTGCAAGCTCGAGCCTGGACTCACAACCGTTCCCGACAGCGGTCCCAGGGAGTGAGTGTTCAGTGAGATTTTATAGGTTTTTTGGGGATACTATACCGCGGGAAAATCAAACAACAACTCTTAACATTGATTACCACATTCAATGGCGGGAACAAGTTGGGTAGGGGTGATTGGCTAGTACAAGAGGGGGTTCCTTTGAACTGATTGGTTTAGGCCACGAGGGGTGTTCGTGCTAAACTACACGGTTTCCCAACATGTTATCAACCACCATAAACTACTGGGGGGTCATCTGGCATTCCAGGTATTCTCCCTGCCTCATGCTGATTGGAGGTTGCTAGAAGGTTGCTATGGGTCCTCACCTAGCCTGACTGAGTCAGGGACACCTGGCGCCTCAACCTCTCCTGTTATTTGTAGACAAACAACTCAGCAGGGTGGGTATGTGCTTATGAGAAACTAATGTGACTCCATTTTTAAAAATAAATAACAGAAGTTTCTATCTCAAGGCCTGTCCTAAGGAAGGGGGCGTGACCCTTGTCCTTGGAAAAACCCACAGAGCACTCCTAAGCACTCCTAAGAGGTCTATTGGGGTCCCACAAATCTGGCATAACACTTAGGAGTGCTCTGTGGGTTTTTCCAAGGACAAGGGTCACGCCCCCTTCCTTAGGACAGGCCTTGAGGTAGAAGCTGCTGTTATTTATTTATTTTTAAAAATGGAGTCACATTAGTTTCTCACAGACAACTTAGTTCAGCCTGCCCTGCACCTAACAAATAAAGGTATTGCTGTGTCCATCTTCAAAAACCGAAAAAGCCAACAGGAAAGGAGACTCCCAACTCTTCCTCCAAGCAAGCTCATTCCGGAACCTGCGGTGCGGTGATGCTCAATGTTACACAAGTGAGAGTCAGCTCAAACTGGAGGCCTCTTACACTTTTTTCAAAATTATTTTTTGAATGTGGACTTCAGAATTTATTAAACCAAAAATCTGTAAATTGAACAGGAGGGGAAAATGAAATTTATTTTAAAAATAGCCATCTCCTGAGAAATAGCCAAAAAGGCATAGAGTGCCTCTTGTGCCATCCCCGTATAGAAAAGAGGGTAGGAGGAGCCCAAAGATCTCAGCCACCCAGGGAGGCTCTACACACACTCTAGATACCGGATCTAACCTTCATGGTAGGCATGTGTATCGAAATCCCCAGCCAAAATAGCTTTTTGAAGCCGAAAGCTCTCAGCCCAAATTTAGAGAGCTGGCAAAGTGGATGCGTGTGATCTTGTGACCCTCTGGGGGGATAGCAGTCTCTCTGCTGCAGATGCCAGAGAGATGCAGGAATCTGTCATTCAGCATCCAGGGCTCTGACACTCAGGCCCCACCTGCTCCCACAGGGTGGAGAAAAAGGAAACGAAGGTGCCACAGGGTGACATGCTGGCCCTGGCCCTGAAGGAGTGAGTCTTCTTCACAGCAGAGGCAAATTCCACCCACCCATTCCACCCACCGTCCTCATCTTCCTCCTCCTTGTCCAGAACGTGGGCAGCCGCTGTTGGGTCTTCAAAGAATGACTGCGCATAGTCCAGGCCGTGCCCCACAGTCTGCGGGTGGGAGAGTTGTTCCGTCCCAGTGAGTGGCTCCAGGTCTCCTTTGGATAAATTTTGAGGATCATGTCCTGGACAGACAAGGGTTCTCAGTATTCAGAAACTCTAAGGAGAATGGATCTGCTTCTTCAAGGCCTTCCTGGTTGTCATCTTCAAAATGTGTCTTGAGGGCTCCTGATGGAACTTTCTGAGTGAATGGACCCTTTTCCTAGCCCAAATCAATGGGAACTGTTAGGTGCAGGACAGGCTGCATTAAGTTGTCTGCAGGGCAGGCTAAATAAACATCAGCTGCAGGATACCCGGCCACTCAAACCCCCTCTGTCTGGTTCTTTATCACCTGTTTGCGTCAAGTCCAAATGCTCAAGCCCCCCCCCCTCCGCCCCCTGCTCAAGGCTGAACACTTAACCCCCCTTGTGCCAACAAGGCAGCTTGCAGACCCAGAGACCCCATTAGATTTAGGCAGCACAGCAGAAGGGCTGAAAAACCTCCCCTTGCTGGGCTCTCTCTCTCTTCTCCTCTGTTGCACTGCGGCAATAAAGACCTCTTGGTCGCTCCAAGTGTTGTGGTCACTTTCCTTTCAGGAACGATGCAGCTCCAGGCCCAGGACAGTGGGGCGCATAGTCTGACAATTGTCTGGCAGTCTAGTTAGGCGGTGGCCCCAGGCCCACTGCTTCAGCCCCGCGTGCCATACGTTTGTCTAGTTTGAAGAGTTCCCACCTACACCTTTCCTTTCAAACTCCCTTTTATCATCTGCACACCATTTATCTCTGGGCTTGAAAGCTGGGGCTGGGGCTCAGGGGTGGAGCGCTTGCCCCCCATGTGTGAGGCACCGGGTTCGATTCTCAGCACCACATATAAATAGTGAATAAAATGAAGGTGCATCAACACAAAAAATATTTTTTAAAAAAAGGAAGCCCACCATCCGAGGAAGGGACAAGTAAAAGGAGACCTGAGTAGACCAGGGAGGGAGCCGTGTGGATATCTCAAAACTTCCTGGTCCCCAGAGGCTCATGTGCTGCAGACTGGGTCCCACCTGGGGGTGCTACTGGGAGGTGGTGGAACTTCAGGAGGTGGCACCAGCTTGAGTAGGTCTTGGGAGGCCTGCCACAGCCCCTTCCTCTCTGTGTCCCTGCCACCAGGAAGCAAGCAGCTCTGCTCTACGGTGCTCCTCCCACCAGACTTTCTGCCTCACCCAGGCCAAAGCAATGGGCCAAGCAGCCACGGACTGAAACCTTCGAAACCATGAGTCCAAATAAACTTTTCCTCTTTTTAAGTTGTATTTCTCAGACATTTTGTGACAGTGAGGGAAAACTGATTAATACAATGTCCCAAGCAAAGACCGCAGCAAGTGCAAAGCTCTAGATGGTAAAAGAACAGTTTCACTTCTCTCTTGTAAGATGTAAAGTAGCCAGAGGAATATACCCTGGTTTTTCCCCTTTCCTTGGCAAAACTGTAAACCAAGCAGCTTCATCTTGATATTCCTTGGGTGCCTCAATCTGAACCTGTCCAAAAGCACACTTATGGCCTTTATGCCTCAAGCTTACCCCTTTGGGTGTCACCTCCATCCATCCAGTTTTCGTCATCTTAGATTGAGGATAAATCTAGAACTTTCCTTTTCTGTTACTCCTCCTCCAGAAGGAGGAGGCTCTGTGGTGGATTAAAGACAGACAAGATTCCTGACACTTTCCATGGAGAAATGGAATTTGTTTTCCCTCCCCTTGATTCTGGGGTGGCCCTGATTGCCTGGTTAAGAAAATGTGGTAGATGTGACATGTGGCTTTTGAGGATATGTCAATAAGCCTTGCAGAGTCTGGATGGTGCAATACATGTCACAGGTTCTACCAGGGTCTACTAAAATGCTATTCCCCAATCCAGCCATCATGCCAAGAGAAGCCAAAGCTATGTGGAGGGGCCTGGTGTGAGGGTAAGCCTCAGGAAGTGGGGCCCAAGGTATGTGGCGGGTACAGTGGGATAGCCGAGCTCTGACAGCCTGAAAGTGCCGTATGGGACAGCAGAGCTTTCCCTTGCTTATGGCTCCTGCTGCCTTTGACAGAAACTATGAGAAATGCTACGTGAGAACCACCCGATTGATCCTGCTCAGCCCAGAATGTAAGATGTAGGACGCCATCAGCCACTAATTTTTCAATGTTTGTTATAAAAATAGCAAAAGAGGCTTTTGGAAGCTTATGTTCTCTAAAGTCTTTTGCTGTAGCCCTTTCCTGTTTCCACTACAGTGGTCCTATTGTTTGGAAAAGTGTGAAAGTATGCTTTAGAATCACACATCACCATGGCTCAACTTACGGAAGACAGAAAGGACTCCGTGCCATTTTCCTGCACCTAGGCGGCCACTGGGTTTAGTTCTTTGGTGTCCTTCTGGAGACATTTTATGCATTTGCAAGTAAAGTGACTACTTTTTTGTTTGTTTTAAAATGTTTTAATTGTAGATGGACACAATACCTTTATTTATCTTTATGTGGTGCTGAGGATTGAAACTAGGGTCTCACACAT